GTGTACTGGATAGGGTGAGATACAAAAGAAAAAAAAAAAAAGACCACACACATTGCTGATCTGTATATTTACTTCATCCTTTAGCAATTTCTGCAGTCAAATACTCTAACCCTGGGCTATATCGCCTTTACTTTAGCAACTTCTAAACCACCTTTTATTAGATAATTCTCATGGTGGGTAGTTAGCATAGCTTCCTATAAAGTCATGGGGGTGTCACATTTGCTGCTATTATTCTTATAGTTCGGCCCAGGTTCACATTCTAGGTGGAAATAACTGAAACTTAAAAGTTTTTACCCCTAAATATAAAGTAAACTTCTTAATTACGGCTCTCAAAGAGAAGGGAACAGGATACAACACTGTGAATTAAAAAGATTTAGTGGCAACTAAACTGGTCATTCAATATACCTAAGAAGTGCTTGCTATGTACCAGACACTGTGCCAAGCACTAAATCTAAAAAGGCACCAAAAAGGATGCTTAGGAATAGTGCAGCAGACATTGTTTCCTTGTTGTTGATAGAAGGTTTCTGTCTAAAGAAAAGGAAAAAGATATGGTGAGATTGTTATACATCTCAGGACATGGGACTGGGTAAACCAAACTGAATTTTCTCATGTTTCTATGGGGAAGTAGAAAGAAGGAATGAAGAAAAATTATAGGCAGAATTCATATTATTCTTAGATGGTAGCATATGGTACCAGAGGAAAACTGGCTTCCAGACTTCTTTTCAGTTTGCAATCCATCTCATTCCAACACTTTATCCCTGCACATATATTTCCTTCCCAGCCCCCCATCTTCATTCTCTTTTAGATTCCCCACCTCAAGTTTCTGCAAAGGTTTAATTTGTAAATCTATCCATGTTATAGATTTTTAATGATACAGATATCAACATCATGCAACTTGAAGGGATATTCCGCAGTAGTATATTATGAAAAAAAAAAAAGATTAAAGACAGACACCGACACATACACGTATGCACACACACACACATACATACACACACCCAGAGAAAGTGATTTTTCAGAGATTAAAATGTATAAATATAGAATTAGGCAATTGCCATCTAAGCTCCATGGTCAAGAAGAATCTCATCTTTCTCCCCCATTCCCACATAATCTATCAAGCAAGGTGGTTCCTACTGGCTCTGAGAGAGTTGGAAGCTCTTTTACAAAGTGTTTGGGGAATCAGAATTTTAATGTAAGCCTCTGTATAAAGAAATTCCATTTTATAGGGCACTATTTGGAAATAATATTTGGGAATTTGGCTTCTTGAGTGATACTTCTCTTAAGAACTAGCCTCTGAATGGTTATAGATTTCACCACTGTAGATGGGTAGTTAATTACTTTTTGGAGATTTCCTGAGGCACCTAATTTACAACATTCTTGGATACTATATCTCAATATTTAATCACTCATAAATCAAGATGTCATTTGTAGGTATTACCCAATGCTCTTGCTGCAATAAAAACCCATTTGCTCTCTCTTTATCTTCTGTGAAGGTAGAAAATGACTGATAATCCTTTCTTATAATAAACCCAGTATAATTAAAGACTCGTCATTGCCCTTTAACTTTCTCTTTTGCAGCCTTAGTAATCCCATGAGGCCTAAATCTTTCGGTGGTGTTTTATTTTGGTGCTAATGCTGATTGATAAATACTGCTTATTCAGTACTGTAAGAATTTCTGTGCTGTACACAAAGGATGTAGAGCTTCTCATTAAGATTGTCAGTCTCCAAATATTGTTGTTAAACTGTAGACATCTGGAATTTAGACACTTCTTTGGTTTTATTTGGGAAAAATTAGTTTTATAGCTGAGAGGTTTGGGGGTATAATCTTTTTGGATTTCACACAAGAATTACAGTACCAATGATTGTTATTCTCTAGTATGACAAAATGAGCACTAGTCTTTTCTGTTATTTGTTCTAATAATACTTCTATATGAATGTGTGAACTAAAAAAATTCCTTCATTTAGAGAATGAGTCATTTAAAAATTCTCACTTTACCTGGTTGATTACTATTGCCCAAAGCCTCAAACTCCTCTGGAATTACTTGGTCTATTGGAGGCAATTAAGAGAGACCGCTGACAAGCTATCTGTTCTGATGCAGGTAGTTTGAAGTTTGGAGTGTAACGCAAAGTCTGAGACACACCCACTGACAGGCACAGTGAGTACTACATGTAGGTGGGGTTGGCAATAGCAAGTGTGACTTGACGGGTGCTGGGCTGGCCTCTGGCAATTTCCAGGCTAGTCTCAACATGCTATCTTTTAATATCTCTCTCTTTGAGGACTTCAAGAATCTATCAAAACAAAAGCATTTTTTCAGGGGTAATAAGCTGTTTCCACTTTGATCAGAAAAGTAAATGCCTATCATAGCAGAAATCTCGACACGAACAGGAATCAGGGTGTTACCGACATACCAGGCTTGGCTTGCCCTCTCGCATTACACAAATGACCTGAAAGTCCAAAAGTTGGTGCAAGGATTGGAAGGTTTATTCAGATCACCGGTACTCGACTAAATGTCTAACCAAGCAAACAAAGAGAAAAGAGGAGCAGTGGGGTTCAGTTTATCTTAGTCCCAATCGGTGGGGCCAACCTATTCCACTGACAGTAATTGATAAGAGCAGTTCTCCCTACTGTTGTCAGCATAACGAAGAAAAGTACCGACCAGATTTAAACCAGAGAAACAAAGTATAGCCAGGAGCCCTCCAGGGTGCACCTATACAAAAAGCAGAAGAGGGTTGGAAAATCAGAAACAAAGCATAGCCAGGAGCCCTCCAGGGTGCACCTATACAAAAAGCAGAAGAGGGTTGGAAAATCAGAAACAAAGCATAGCCAGGAGCCCTCCAGGGTGCACCTATACAAAAAGCAGAAGAGGGTTGGAAAATCAGAAACAAAGTGTAGCTGGGAGCCCTCCAGGGTGCACCTACATAGTAGTAGATACAATCCAACCAATCAGAAAATCAGAGGAAGGTAAAAATAATAAAGCATTGCTTTGTCAGAATTTCGGCCACAGACTCCAGGAAAGATCTACCAGCAGCAGAGACATGGGAGCAAAATAGTCCCAGTGACCACTTGCCTCTTGTAGCTAAAGTCTTCTCTGGTGCCCAAAGCTTTCCAATTTTTGCCAGTGATTAAATTAGGCTCTCGCATTTCAAAGTCATAGAAATGAACAATGTACCCAGCAGTAAAGCAAGCAACGCTTTATTAAAAGAGGAGATAGACTTATGCATAAGGCGGGTGGCGACAGCAAAGCTAGCCTTCCCCCCCCCCCCCCCCCCCCCCGTCTTTTATAGGGAAAGGAGTAAAGAGGTGGCAGGCCAGGGTCATTGGAGGTGGTCCCTTCTGTTCTTCCTGGTTGCGTCATGGGCACATGCTCAGTAGGTCGAAAATGGCAGTGGTGTTCATCATTGTCACCCCAGGAAGGTCATTGTAGCAGACACCTTGATGCTTTGTGCACAAGTGGGAATTCCTAAAGGGGCCTTAAGGTTAATCTGTAACTTTTGCAATTATGGTAAAACAAGCCTTGGGGAGGGGTTTTGCAACTCAGTAAATATCTGTTTCCTCCCTTATCTCAGTCTATTTTGTCAGGGCAGCTCAAAGGGGTAATCATTTGTAATAATTTGCCCTGGGGGTCTCATGACTGAGGAGTGGAAAAGTAACAAAGCATCCTCTGCAGGGAAAATGGAGTCAGTTTGGTTTACAGGCCTAGCCTTACTCTGTTTCAAGGGCAATGGGGTTGGTGGTGGTTCTGGTGCGGGAGCCTTCACTCTCTGCAGATTCAATGCCCTAAATCTCTCCTCTTCCTTCCTCTAAATCCCTCCACACACCCCACTGCTTAGTCCTAAATGCATCTTCAGCCTCCTCAAACCACTGTGGCAAGCAGTTAGTGTCCACTGAGAAGGGCCTGGGGTTTCTAGGGGCAGCTGCTGTGGTGAGCTCCGGCTCCATCCGCAGAGGTTTCTTCAGTCCCTGTAAGCAGGAACATTTCTATGGACTGCAAAAATAACCACCCTTGTTTAGGTTCTCTCCCTTGCTGAAGTAGCTTTAGAAGTCTGGGAGTGTGATGGGAGAGCAGTCTTTAGCCGGGCCGCCGCCGCACGTGTGGCTCCCACGCGCGGGATCCCAGCGTCAGGTTCAGCTCTCGCCTCCGCCGGCTTCCCTCGGGCAGCAGACGCCCCGCCCCCTGCCACCACCGCACGTCTCATTGGCCAGGGCTTGTGTCAGCCTTGGCTCCTCACTGGAGGCTGCGCCTGCCGGTCTGCGCGGCTGGGACATTTCCGCATTGAGGGGGTGCTGCTCCGAATGGAGGGGGAGGGGAGGTGTTTAGGAGAAAGGGGGGGTTTTGGTGTAGGGAGCCGGCAAACGAGTGGGCAGAGGGGGTCAGCAGCTGGGCTGCGACCGCAAGAGAGGGACTCAGGGTGTGCCTGTGTGAGGGGATAGGGAGAGAGAGGAGGGTGCCTCAGAGGTGACATTCAGCCTGCGAACCTTCTTCCTGGTGCGCCATAAACGCTTCCAATTTCCCAACAGCTAAAGGAAGAGGAGGAAGGTGGGTCTCGCTGGCGGGTACGGGCGGGACGGGGTCGAGCTTCTGGCGACCCCCTGGGTGGATGTGTTTCCTTCTCTGAGAGGTGCAGAACCCCTCTTCCCGACCCGCCGTGTGACCCTGGAGACTGAATTTGAGATTCGGAAGAGCTCAGGGTAGGAGGGACGAGCATACTTGTGGGAAGGGTCGGGCCCTCCCCCGGGACTCCGGGGCGGCGCATGGGTCCACCCCTCGCTGGTGGCCCCTTAGTGTACGCTGCGGGGGAGGGGCGACAGCTCTCGGCCCCTCCCGGGAAGAAGCTGCGGCCGGGTTTCCGCCTCACGCAGCGGGGAGGCGGAGAGCTGGAGGCCCCGAGCGGTCGGCCCATCCGAGCGCGGGATTCGTAGCGCCTCTTAGTCCCCTTATATTTATGGGCTGGTAAAATGGTCGTTCTGCCCGCCTTTGCGGGCCTCCCCAGTCTCCCTGACTCCTGCTTGGGCGGGAGCCGTTGTTGACTGGGGTTTTCTGGGTAACCCGCCAGAGGCTGGACGGCGGGGCCGGGGAGGGGGCAGACGGGGGTGCGGCCCTCCAGTGCCCGCTGCAGTCCGGCCCCGGGGGGCGGTGAAATAACCGCTGTAGGTCCGCCTCTGTCCTTGATGGAATTTAAGTTCGTGTGGCTGTACCTTTTCCGGGAGTCTGCAGCTGGCCCTCGTTTGTGTCAGGAGCGCAGTGTAGCCAGGAGTTCCCAAGCAGACTCAGTCGCACCAAGTTTCCGTCTTGGAATCGAGAGAGGTTTTCCTAGTTTTATGTATTTTTTTCTTTTGGGGGGCCAGTTTTAATCGCTTTGAATAAATACTCCCTTAAATAGCTAAACATAGGAGGAGAAAGAACACGTCGGCTGAAAAGTAGGGGAGGAAGAGGGACCTGCCCTATAGCGTGGTTCCTCTAGAAATTAAAAAAATACATAAATATTATACATATAAGCCAGATAATTTTAGTAAAGCCCTAAAATGTCGAGATTTGTACAAGGTAAGAAATGCTTCTATTTATCTCCCGGGTTGCTTCAGCTGAATTTGGGTGCTGGCAGTCGAAAGGTTGGTGGGTGGTTTGGAAGTGGAAATGTTCATTTGAGATACCATTTACGAAACCCTTTTCTTTAAATTGACATCTGAGCTGCCTTAAGCTGCTAGGTTGGTGTTTCAGATACGTATAATTTATGCCCCTGTGCCCTACTGGGTTTAGTTCTGCCTTCCTGAAATAAGGTTAGTAGTACTCTGGATCCCCTGGATAGTGGCTGTAAATGATGATAAAACAGGATTTTGATTGCTGATTAATCCCTGTTCTCTTCTTGGTCCGTGTCAAGGTACCTGTGTGTGCTTGGGGACGGGAAAGGCAACGGGGGAAGGGCGGCGGCTAGGGGAAGGCAGGTGGGTTTTGCCAGGAGCTACTGGAGAAGCTTTAGTATTCTCCGCTTCTATTCCGTTTGTGTGTACGTGGTTTGAGTCTCAGATTCATTTATTGTGAAACCGGGAGTAGCCCGTAGAAGCTGGAGGTCATTTCACCGGGAGAAATGACTTCGCTGCATTGCTGAGTTAATTTTTTTCCTTCTTTGAGATATGAAAAGATGATTAAGGTTGAAAGTTGAAAATTGCCTTCTAAATTCCACGTGTATTTAACAAAAAGGGTTAGGGAATGCCTATCAACTGAGCTAAGCAGTAACATTGCGTGTATGTGTGAATGTACGTGTGTACAGTGTACATACTGAATTTGGTGCTGCCAGAAGTTTACTCTGTCACCAGTTTGTAGCATAGGATTTGCTTTCTGGTAATGCAAGTAAAACCCTCTCCTTGTTGACTCCAGCGAGTGAAAACTTCAGCCATCTTGTTGAACATACAGCTAGTAAAGTTCACAACCACTTAAATGTGCTTTTTTTTTTTTTTTTTTTTTGTCTTTTGTCTTTTTCCGTGTCCGGCAACGGATCGCAACCCTCAGTGTTGCCCCCGCACCGGACGGGGACGGCAACGGGACCGCAACCCTCGGTGTTGCCCCTGCGCCCCGCCCAGCCAGTGAGCGGGAACCGGTCTGCATGTAGGATCCGAACCCTCGGGCGGGAGCGCCGCCGCGCTTCCCAAGCAGCGCACTATCCAGTGCGCCGCCACCGGGCCGGCCCTAAATGTGCTTCTTAATAAATGTAGATGTAGGGGGATGGGGAGACATTAGACAAGGGGCATAAAGAATAAGTACGATTTGTAACAATATATATGCTAGTAATGTTGATTTGATCAACATATCTCAGTGTTGATCCCCCAAAATTTGTATAATCAATTTTGATTCAATTAAAAAAAAAAAGTAGATGTACCTTAAAAAAAAAAGTTGTGTCAGTAATGGCCGTCATTTGACTCTGGGAATAAAAATGCCCCAGTGAGTTCTGCATTACTTTATCAATTCTTCTTTAAGTTTTATATAATACTAAAGTAAGAGAATTCGAGTGCCTGTGTATCATGGAAACAGATGGGACACTTATGCCTGCCTTTAACACTAAGCTCAGAAACGTCATTTGTCATTAGACTTTCAAATTCATGTTATAGCTTATATGTGGTAAGAGACACTTACATTCCGATTGAGTAAATGTCTTATTCAAGAATAGAAAGTCAGAGGTAACTGTTAGAAACTTACTGGTTTTGTAACAACCACAGCCATATTGTTACCCTAAAGCTAGTATTTTGCAAGAATGTGCTAGGGAAAAGTGGACAAATTCTTTTCTTTAAAAGTTAGGAATATTATTAGTTGAACTCAAGGTGTTCCATGTAGTTATGCTTTCAAATAGCTTGTAGACTTAGTTTTTTGCATTGACTGATTTCATAGCCTTTGCTCTTAAAGTTTACTGCCCTCAGGGGATTCTAAATCAAGCAGCAATACCTAAGAGTTGCTGTGGATATTTGTCATTACTTTGTCATCTATTTTAAAAAAAAAGCTTTCTATTTCTAGATTAATAGGAGTTGCACATTTGTTGAAATTCAGAAATACATAGGGACATTACTATTAACTAAACTCCATACTTCTCTCAGATTACTGTTCCCTTGATTCAAATCCAATATACCACATTGCATTTAGTTGCTATGCACTTTTACTTTAAATCATAGTTTTCCTTTTAAACTGGCAGTTTTGCACAAGATTACACACCCAATTTTTTTTAAACGTGATTGTGCTCTTGTTTATCATTGTTCAAACTTTGTAGTTTGAGTGTGAGCCCTCTGTATGTTTAATTCTGCTGCTGTTATAAATGATAAACCTAATTGGCTAATGCACAGCTATCTCCCCAGACCAATTTTCAAATGTAAGGGTTGGAATTTTTGTTTTTGATTTTTAAGCAAATCAGATTCTTTGATCTTTGCTGCAGAACTTATTGATATTTCCACTCATTGGCACTTAACTCATGATACTTCATAGGGGAAAAAGTTAACACATATAAGGCCAATAAAGCCCCTAACCATTTTTATACGTTGTCTCATTGAAGCTTGGTAAGAGCCCTAAAAGGTAGTAGATTTTTATCATGATCTTACAACTGAGGAAAGTGTTGCACTGGGATTCGTATATGAATATGTCTAAAGCCCTTGTTCTTTCCAACACCTTTTGTTGCTTCTTGTGTTAAAATCTATGGAAATGGCCTGTTTCCCCAAGTAGACTGTCAGTTCCCTATGGGCAAATATATTATATGAGGGTACTTCAAAAAGTTCATGGAAAGATTTGTATTATCTTTTAATTCTATTTTTCCATGAACTTTTTGAAATACCCTCTTATTCCTGGGGGAAATACAAGGTCTTGTAAGTGGTGGGTGCTCTAAAAGAATTTGTCATGGATGCCAAATGAGAAACCCACAACTCTGTACTTTCTCTGTACTTTTTAGTAGGTTAATCTACATTTTTGGTTGTAGTTGTTTTTTTTTTCCCCTTTTTGTCTTTTTTCGTGACCGGTAACGGGATCGCAACCCTTGGTGTCGCACCCGTACCGTGACCGGCAACGGGATCGCAACCCTCGGTGTCGCGCCCGCACCCCGCTCAACCAGTGAGCGGACTGGTCTCTATATGGGATCTGAACCCGGCAACGGGATCGCAACCCTCGGTGTCGCGCCCGCACCCCGCTCAACCAGTGAGCGGACTGGTCTCTATATGGGATCTGAACCCTCGGTGGGAGCGCCGCTGCGCTCCCAAGCGCCGCACTCTACCGAGTGCGCCACTGGGCCAGCCCTTGGTTGTAGTTTTTATAATACCTCTCAGGTCACATAAATGTTGAGAAAGATAGAAGGGTATGGACTTAGGTTTGAATCCTGTTACTAACAGGTGATCTTAGACACAACTTTTTTGAACCTCCGTTTCTACCTATAAATCAGTTAATGTTTATGCCTGAGGGTTATTGAGAAGCTGAAATGAGATGAATTGTGTGCTAGGCATATATTATGTGGCCACTAAATTTTACTTTCCTTTTTTAAGATGATGATGGCCTTTCAGATAGCTCTATCACCAGAAGTATATACCACATGTCATCAACAGAAATAAACAGAAACAAGGCAGTATGAGAGTTCTTTATTTTCCTATTCCAGGTTTGGTGTTCAAGCCCAGGCACTTAGGAATGATATGTTTAAGGGGAAAAAAAAAGTGCAGGGGTGGGAGAATGGGGTGGAGTGAAGCTTGGTCAGTGTGGGGATGAACACAAGTTGGTGACAGTTTTTGTTTGAGTCCAGTCAACAAAAAATTTTCGAGCACTTACTATGAGCAGTACACTCTGTTGGGATTTCTAGTGTATCTCTTATGGTAGAGTTCAGCAGATCTGGGTATTATTATTATACCTGTGTGTTGTGTACATGTGTTTTTGAACATCACAGAACATGGGGTTGCTACACTTTGCTTGAATCTTTCCCCAAATCTAGGCAATGTGCTTAGTCGATAGACAAGAGAGTTTTTAGTGTATATTCCTTGGCCAAAATAAGGTTCAAACTTCTTTAGCCATCTCCCCAAGTCTGTGTTCCTCACACGCTTAAGGTTCCTTCTTTACTGGATCTATGGCATATTTCCTAGGTGGTGTATTCTGCCCTCAGGTCATCTTTTGCCTGCTTGTGAAATTTCTTCTTCAGCTGATAGTTTTCTCGGCTCCTTGGCTTTTTGTGGGGTCCTCAGTTATTCTAAACAAATATGAGGACCATCTCTTTTCTAATTGAGTGAGGAGTGGCTCCTTATCACAGTTGGAAGTGCTGAGGTTCATCAGCAGCTATGGCTTTTTGCCAGGTATGAGGACCATCTCTTTTCTAATTGAGTGAGAAGTGGCTCCTTATCACAGTTGGAAGTGCTGAGGTTCATCAGCAGCTATGGCTTTTTGCCAGGTTTGCCAATGGATGTCATTTGGACTTCTTTTTAAGTTCTGAGAGATATGGGCTAATCTCCCTAAATGTTTTGAAACTTATAAATGGTGGAGAGACTAATGTTGGCTAGCCAGCTAAGGCCATGGTATGTGCTCATAGTGTGATATTAGAGACACTGTTTTTAATATGCCATTATCTATTTAAATTAAGTGTCCCTTAATGTTGTTAAATTGAGGTACTTATATTTCAGGGAAAGCCATTTAGGTACTTCTGTGTCACTTAAAAATTATTCAAGACCTGTCAAGTTTCCCATTTGTTGGAATTCTTTTTGTGACATTTTTGGTGATTCCTGTTTGGTAGATGGCAGCTAGCCAGAGAAGGTAACTGAGCTAATTATAACTGGAGGGGTCTAAGATGAATACAAGGATGAGAAGCATTCTGGGACCTGGTTGTTCTCAAATCCTAAGACCAAATTTAGCCTTTTGCTAATCATTTTAGATGACTAGGATGTTTTTAGCCCAGGATGATTGTGGCATGGATTTGAATCAGGAGTAGAGGCAGCAAAGTAATGACTAAGGCACACCCCTCATTATTTAAAGATGTGGCTTAGGATTTATTATGTTACTAGAGAGAGGGGAATTTAGTTAAATTCAGAGTAAAATTTATAAATGTA